GGGCCTGGAGAATCTGATACTCATAGGTCGAATAGAGAGAAAGAGAGACAAGGGAAAACAATGCATGACATACCTAGCAGCTTTAAGCAAGTGGATGACAGAACATGGTCAGTGGGAGGTGACAGAGGGAAGGAACTTGTTGAGAGCTGCAAGGGATAGAGGGAGGTGGAGAGCCATGATCGCCTTCGTCCTGAAAGGACATGGCACATAGAAAGAAAGTAATTCTAAGAAAAAATATTGATTGAAATTCTTTCCTTGAGGAAATGAGGACACTTTAAAACTGACAACTGCTCTCAAAAAAGACCCCTAATTATGGGGTAGTAAATTTTAATGTCCCAACACAAAAATGCTTTCATTTAATCACTATAGAGAAACTTTTCTGGCTACCATCAGCATGGCTGATGCTAACCTCGAGGAGAGAAACTCATTTTCTATTGGAATGATATCTTTTACACTTAATTATACTAATTTTCTTCATTTATATAGAGACCATCATCTGTTGGAAGGGACCTAAAATTTTACAGTCTACAATGCTAGCCCCCAATAAGATTCCACCTCCTTCATGTTGTCATCAAAATTGTATTTCTTTACTGAAGGACACAACCCTCAGGCCCAGTCATTTGTTCCATCCAATGTAGCTCTACATACATCACTAAAAATTACTGTAATATCACTAATACAACACCTTGATACCCCAGAAGTCATTTCTTCCTCTACACACAAGTAACATTTTCAAAAAGAACTGCCGTCAGTGGTAACTGGGACAAGAAATGGTTGTGAACACCAAAAACAAAACTGCTTTAATTTAATCGCCATAGAGAGCCATTTCTGCTGACCACCAGCATGATTAATGCTAGCTAAACTCTAGTAGAGCAACACTCTACATCTTCTTAGTCTCACATTTTCCACTGACATGAAGTTAAGTGATTATATTGAATCAATTGTTCAGTCTACTGTTAGGAAAGTTGGTTGTGCCAGACAATATTTCTCATCAAAACATCAGATTTGTTACTTTTCAAACTACTCAAACAACCACATGTGTTCCAAAAGTTGCATCACCCACTACAAATTGGTGACCAACATCAACTTTATACATTACAAACGTTGCTACAATATAATAAAAATGACAGAAGTCAACCATCCAGCTGAGACATATTAATTACTTTTATTTGCTAGTTTTCATTATCTCCTTATATATATATATATATTGACTTCAGCATCTGACTCCAGAGTTTCATAGGCTGACCTGTCTGTCCACACTTCAGGGGGTATCAGCAATTTACTGCTTATATTTTTTCAATTTTTCCTTTTATACATGTCATTTATCACTGGTGTATCACATGCATATATATATATTTTATGCACATTTATTACTGGTGTATCATATATATATATATATATATATATATATATATGTGTGTGTGTGTGTCTGTGTGTGTGTGAGTTTGTGTCTGTGTGCATGTGTGTCTACGTTTGTATTTGTGAAAATGAATCTAAAATTTTCAGTATTTACAAATATATATATACTAGCAGCATGGCCCGGCGTTGCCAGTGCTTGATTAAAAAATCGTACGACTCATACAGCAATTGCTATCACTTGACTTAAAATATTTTTGCCCTTCCTTGCCTTTAAAGGAGTGCCCTTTGCCGTGCTGATGTTGCTACATGCCTTATTTCTTGCCTATCTCACAATGCAAATTTTTTCTAAGCTCTATACTAAACATTAAATCTGTTAAGAACTAAACAAAATGAACACAAAACAATCAGCTTTAAAAAACGACTCATAACTGAAAAAACCGAATCAAAAAAGAATGTTAACTTTTTCACACACAACCCAGTTCTGCGGAATCAGAATCAACGTTGAGTTTAAGCAAGCGAATGAGCCAATTGGAGTAAAGTGCCATGAAAATTTTTCCCACTTGTGACGAATGTAGCTATTGATTTTTTTGCATGCTAGCATGCTAGTTAACATTTGTGTCAGTCAGCTGTTGGCTCTCATGCTGACCAATAGAATCTTCCTTGCCTATTCGTGGCAGCCAGCTATAGGCTATCACTCTGGCCAGTAGAAAATGTCTGCAAACTACATGAAAACTGCCGTAGAAGCATGAAAAAATCGATTATTTCCACTATCGATGGGAGTTGGGAAATGCAAAGTCAATCTTGGCCTCTCCGCTAACTAGGAGCATGTGCATGTAAATTTTGGTCCAAATCCGTTGAAAATTGCGGCCATGCATTCGTTACGCACACACACACACACACACACACACACACACACACACATCCTGCTTTTTATAGATAGATTAAATGTTCTCTTATTTTGTCTCTACACTGAATTTCATAGAGATTACACCCACACTTCAGGAGACTTGATTATAAGATTTACAATTTGATTCTCTGCTGAAGAGTGGAGATAAAATAAAGGTACATTCATATTTTATTTATTCATGTATTTATTTTTTTATTTATTATTATTATTATTATTATTATTATTATTTTTATTATTATTATTATTATTATTATTATTATTAATACCCTAATTTTCTTAATATTGAGTACAGTAATTGTAAAACTTACTTGAATAAAAAACGTTATCTTCCAGAAATAGCCAACGCTACTGTTTTTTATGAAATACAATCTTCATTATTGTGGTTTTATTAAATAGAAAAGGCATGGAATGTTTATTAAGCTTTTTAGTGAGTTTCTTCGGGTGTCAAATAAGTCATTTGATGTCAGGTGGATATTTATAAAGGAACTTACTGAAACTTTGTATAATAATTGACCATAATTTGATGATAATTAGAAGGGGCACAGTTGATTTGTGTTTAATGTTTATATATGAGAGTTTACTAGGAGATGTGACAGGTCAATCTTCTCAAGATTGTGGTGTGACCAATATATGGTGTGTTTTTTTTTTATTAATAGAAACATAGTCTCCCAAGGGACAAGAGAATTGGTATACAACATTTCTCACAATGATTTTTTTTTCTTTTTCTGGAGAAATACTCAATTATACTCTGTCAATTAAACTGCAAAATACAATTAGGAAATTTTGGAGGCTCTCAACATCAAGCATCAGCAACCCAACATCAAGAAAATTTGTTTTAATCTCAATGTGTACTTGTTCAAATGTCTTTTTTATTTAAAAATCAAAAATTAAAAATAAATAAATAAAAGATAAAATAAGCAAAATAAGCAAAAATATGTAAAATAGAATTAATCCAAACCAATAAATAAGTAAATAAATTAATAAATAATAAATTAATTAACAAACCACGAATGCACACAAGGAAACATAACAACAACCAACAATAAAATAATCAATAATAAATAAAAAAAATTAACAAACAACACTAAAAATCGCCCAAAAATTGTATCCATATCAACGATTATTTCCACACAATAACCTCTAGAATAATTTGAAATATAACCATTATATCACATCAAAACTACTATTACAGCAATATAATAGATTATCCACAACACAACATGGACCCCTATATTTAAATACTCAAGCAAAAACAACACATATGGCCTGACAATTGTGTATAAGCATGAAACAGACTGTTGACACTCGTGTGTCCACTTTGATATATATATATATATATATATATATATATATATATATATATATAATATTATAAATTAATTGATTTAAAATATGTTTTTTTCCGCTACACAGTTCTAACCATGTTTAAAAATAGAAGCTAAAAGCCCCGAATTTAATTTTGCAATTAAATTAAAAGTGAGCACTATTTTGTAAAAAAAAATCAACTCTGTTCACTATGACATTTTTATCAAATCTTCTATTTAATTACACAACTGTTGGAAATATTGTAACAGTGCAAAATAATATAACGTTTTAAAGACTAATAATTTTTTTAAACTTAAAAAGCTAAGAGTCTTAAAATTATTTTTATTGATTTCACCTAAACTAATGTAAACATATTTTATTAAAGATCCATACAATAAAATTATAAAGATGATGCAAGAAAAGGAGATAATCTATAATGATAGATAATAAGACATAATAAAATGATCATAAACAGATTAAAATAATTTAACAGTATTGGTATTTCCAGCAACTTATAAACAAGTCATTGTATCCATGTAGGCATTTCAAAATATAAAAGAACAACATATAATAAGAGTTTCATCTTATTTTTTTTCTTTTGGAACAGAGATTCTTTGATGTTTTTTGATGGCTTTTAGTGAGGAGAAGGTATTATTTATCGCTTTCTGATTTCTACTTATATATTGTAGATGACTATTTCAAAGTTAAATTTTGAAGGGCAGACAAGTACTTTTAGAAATTACTGCAAAGCAATGATGTTTATTTCTTGATCAATTAATGACTCATTTGTATTCTTTGATATGGTTTCAAATGTAGGCGGCACTCATGAAGCATGAAGGCTTAAATTCTTTGCTCATTGGCTCTCCCTCCTGTCACCACCTTTCTTTTGCTCTTTCTCCCACACATATACATATACATCATCACTGGCACCTGTTCACATCTGAACATCAAGATTGTCATCCTCTCTCCTTATTCCCTTTCTCCCCCTCTGGTGGCAGTGATATAGATTATACATTATATATATATATATATATATATATATATATATATATATATATATATAATCTCTCTCTTTCTTTTCTAAATAAATATATATATATATATATATATATATATATATATATATATATATATAGGTTTTGAACAATAAAAATATTGAAAAATTAACAAATTTAAATTTTCCTACTGGGTTGTATATTAATTTTTTTGTTTTATTATTTCAATTAGGTTCCTTGACTAGCTTTGGCCAGCATCGCCATCATCAGAGAAAAAAAATTCCTACTTGTTAGTGTGTATATATATGTATATATATATATATATATATATATGTATATATATGTATATATATATATATATATATATATATATATATATATATATATGTGTGTGTTTGATATAGATATACACACCATTTTTCAATCACTTTTAGTTTCTTTATCCTCACTCTCTCTCTCTCTCTCTTTACACACACCTTTTCAATTTCTTCTTTCACATTACTCTACATTCCCTCTTCACAGTCTGTCCTCTTCTTTCTCTCTCTCTCTCTCTCTTCACACACATCTTTTCAACCTCTTCTTTCACTTTTCTTTACACACTCTCTCTTCCATCTCAGTCATCTTATTTCTCCCTCTTTCTCTTCACACACATCTTTTCAATGTCTTCTTTTATTTTCTCTATGCACTCTCTCTTCACAGATCCATTTCTCTTCTCTCTCCCCCTCTCTATCTCACTTTCACTATACCTTCTCTCTCTCACTCTCACACCACTCTCGTTCTCATTTTTATCTTTATTCCATAGAGAATAATTAACATTTTTTGTTCTATGTTAAATGCACTGATCCAGCAAATTTACTTAACTGAATAAAATTTTATTTTTAAATAGGTGAAGATATTTAAATCTTTTTCACTATTTTATTATGCAACTCAATGTCTTCAGATAAACTTGGTACCAACCAACTATTACTTGTAAAATTTTCAGTATGTATTTGTATGAGCAATATATCATATGTGTTTTAACTTATAATAGCTATCGTAATAAAAATATTGATAACTTGATTGATAACATCACATTTTATTATACAAACCAAGTACAGCATAAATCTTTATTTATGAATAAAACAAAAAGAAAATAAACAGGATGATAGGTAAATGTATCTACTCCTATTCATTTGGTGGGTGCAGTTTTTGAAATTCTCTTACTTCCTCTTTTTGATAAAAATCTTCATTTTTCTGAATTTGGAGATTTAAATCTCCATGTTTTAAGACTTTTTGGTTGATAGATCTGGAGGTATGTTTGAGTAATGGATAATGGCTCAGGCTGAGGAATCAAGGAGCTCCAGTTAAGTTCATTAAACTATTGAATACCGCTCAAGTTACTTAATAACATCTCAAGGTATCCATAAGTTAGTATAGATATTTCTAATAAAACAGACATGATAAGCTAAAAATTACAGGGTATATTTATCATATAAATTTAAATATAGCTTAAAAATGTTATCAATATCAGTTGGTTATTACAAATTTTAACGTGAAAAGATTAACTTGCATAACAGACTATTTTATATTGAACCATCTGAACTGTTTCCTTCCAGTGTGATATTGGTAACATAAAATGCCAAAAGAGGTTGCAGAAAAGTTTTATACATTATTTATTATATGATATCTTCAGATTAGTCATAATTCTGGCATGTCTTGAGTGTTTGGGGGAGATGTATATAAAGTGTCAACAAAATTTAATGATTAACAAAAACCTTTGATAAATTAACTTATTTGAAAACAGATGAAATTAGCAAAATTGTATGTATGAAATGCAAAACTCTAAATTCAAATAGCAATAATTATAACTAAGGTTTTGTCATTTTTTGTTTTAGCTCATCCAAAGTTTTTAAAAAAAATGTTTCTCAAAAATATTTTTGATAAAAACACAGAAATATTCTAATTAAACGCAAAAAATATGATTTATGATCTTCAGTTCACTTACTCTAACACTTAGCTGAATGTATACAAATGAAGTTTACAATTTATCCAAACAAAAGACATTAAAAATACCCTTGAGTGTTTTTCAAATGAAAAAGTATCATGTAGATAAATTGTATGCTGAGAATTTGAAATCACTTCATTTCATTTCCAACACACCAAAAAAATGTGTAAGCTTACTTTAAAAGATGCTTCATATTATTCAATCTTGAAGGCTTTGATAACTTTCTGTCAATTCCCAAGGCAACTTTTAAGTACATAAAACTATTTCAAACAATATTTTCTATTTTCTGCCTAGGAATAATTATTGAGAGACTTTTTTTCTAAATGATGAAGAAATTTATTTGGTTATTCTTTGAAACAAGGTGCTATCAATGTTTTTCACTCAATATATTTTTTAGATATTTTCTAATTCTTAAGGAAAATTAGTTTTATTCAGTGATACTTTTTTATATTCTCTATATTTCATTTTCCTTTATAACTTAATATTGATCCATAAAAATGTTTTCTAATAAGACAATAGCATTTTGCTTTTATTCATAACATTTTTACTATATTCTCATACAATTATCAAACTCTAAAACTGTCACATAAGAACAACCATATGATGAAATTCATGGTAATTTCCAGATGAAGAGTTTGAGAAAATTATTTTTTACTTATGGAAAAAGTAAAAATAAATGGGAAGAAAAAAGATGAAAGAAAAACTATGAAAAATTTGACTTAGTTTTTTTGATCAAAATATTTTCCATTTTGAAAATCACAAGTGAAACTATGTTTAAAAAATATTATCATTAAATTTTTAGCTAAAAGAATAATGAACAGGAATAAGAGAATAACAAATTGGTATCCCTTACTTTATATTGGTTTTAATAATTTTTACTTCAAGGTTTTTTTAATCTAAATACCCATTTAAATATAATGGCTTTGTTTACTGGTCTTTTATATATTGTTGTAATTCTTAATCAAAACTATTGCTATCATTTGTATCATTATTTGTATCCTTCAATTTTCTAACACTGTTTTATACTTTTATTCATTTTTCCATTGTTTCAATTGATCCAATAAAAATAAAAACAAAACTTGGTGATACTCCTTTTTAATTACTCCTTTTTTATTAAGTTTATTTTATTAAGTTTTTTTATTAAATACTCCTTTTTAATTAAGTTTCATTTATTAGCAGAATTGTTGCAGTGTTTATTTTATTATCTTAAAAAGAAAAACATTAAAACTCATAAAAACTTTGGAAAAATCAAAACCTGTTCAGTATATTCAAACTTCAACAGTTAAATTATTAAACTTTACAAATATATCAAAATATAGTAATATAATTTACAGATATTAAAGTGAAATTAAAGTGAATTCATTGCCTAAAATCAATTCTAAGATTTTTAATATTTTTGTACAAAGAAGTAGTAACTTTATAATAATTTCATCAGTCAGCTTAAAATGTTTCTACTGTTGATAATTATACTCTTGGATATAATGGATTTTATAATTTTTTTTTACTAATTGTTTACCCTCTATAAGGCTTAGGAGTCACTCAAGGTAGAAGGTTACTGATTAGGATTGCTGTATGAATATAGGAAAATGAGGTAAAAAGTCCATATTATGAGATAATGGTTGACCCTAGTCTTGAAGAGGTTAAGATTGTAGTTATCTTACAATGGGCAGAGTTTTATCAGTTCTTTTCCAAGAGAGACGTTTTTAATAATTGCAATAGACCATTTTAAAATATCTACTTTACTTTGTATAGCAATACAACATACAACAGGTTACCATTAATCTGTGCTTTCAATTACAAATATTTTTAACAACTGAGCTCCTGCTAAGTAGTTACTTTGTTGCATGTTTGAAATTTAAAAGCTGGTAACAGCAAAAAAGAAAATTGAGACAATATAGGCTGTGTAGGTTCTTGGCTGTGGACAATATAGCATTGAAAGGTTAATTGGAATCAGTGTTGTTCAAGAGTTTTGAGTTTGGACTTTTTCAAGCTTTATTACCAATCTGTAGTTAACATTCAATTCAAAACTGAATCTTCTGAAGAATTTTGTTCATTAATTCCCAATTCAATCTTTTTCTCTTTGGTTTAGATTCAAACATTAAATAATAAAACTCATCAAAAAAAGTAAAGGGATATTAAATATTATTCTCACAGTATTAGGGAATCAGAAAATGTCCTTAGAAACAAAGAAAAGAGTTTTGGATTTCTATGTAATATCTAATCTTCTACATGGTAGTAAACACTGGAAAATTTTATCAGGAATAAAGAAAAATCTTGGCAGGAAAGAGATTTGATTCTACCAAGAAATGTTGGATAGTGTATGAGAGAAAGGGAGAGCTGAAAGTTTGGAGAAATATACTGAAAAAAGAAAACTTGGAGAATTTAATACTCACAGGTGATACTGAAGGCAAGAGAAGCCAGTGGAAACAGCAAGTTGACATTTTTGAGAAAATGGATGGTAGACCAAATGCCAAAAAACAAAGAAGTGTCATAAAGAAATCGAGTCACAGAAGTCAGGAAGTTGTGGAACTCATATACAAAATATATTGCTAAAGACACTAGAAAAAGGGTCAGTTCACTGTATCTGACTCCACCCTGCTATACTCTATTGTTACAAGAGCCAGTTCAGACAAAAAATGGAGTTTTGCTGCCATATCTGGGCTGGAGTTACGCAGTCCTCACTTCCTCTCTTGATAGAGTTCAAAACAGTCTCAGCAGCCTTCTAAGTGATTAATTATTTTCCAGCCTACAACCCCTTTCTCACAGATGAAACTTTGCAAACTTCTTGCTACTCTATCCCATGGCAAGTATTCTGACAAGCTACATTCTTTGGTCCCACCAGTCCTGACTTTTGCAACAGGGACTCATCATGCCATGTACATACAAATGAATCATCTTTGTCCCCTTTGTATTTCATTAATAAGAAGTTAAATTCCACTTAGAAGGCTTCTTCCCAAGAACCACTTCTTTGTTGAATATAGCTTAAAAATGTTATCAATATCAGTTGTGGTTATTACAAATTTTACCAAATCAGAATCATCACTTTCACTTTATTCTTTTGTCCTGCACTATTTTTCTGCTTTTCTAGATTTTTCAGTCATTTGAATTTTATTGTCATTCTTTTAGTGCTTCTTCAGGTACAAGACTTATAAATTTAACAGAGTTCATTTTCTTCAGATTTCTTTCCTTAGTTTTAAAGAATACTTGTCTATTCTTGCACACAATTCTTATAACAATATTTATATCTGCAACAACATATACTAAGAATCTTGATCATTACCAGATTTACTATTTTTCTTAATTGTACTTAAGCACCATTGACCAAGTATGCGTGTTGGGTGGGGACACATCTTCCTTCCATGCTAAGCCTACAACCTTCATGGTCCAAGTAAGTGGCCTCATAACTTAACTAGCATAGGGCCTCATTTGTCCTCAATCCAGTGTTGATCATGCCCAATAGCATAACTTTGATATTACTGCTACCCAGATCAACTCAAAATCTTTGCCCAGAATAGAAATCAGGACTTATATATATTTTTTCTTAATCTCTATTTTTATTTCCTTTGTATTTTATTAAAATTATTTTACAATGTATAGAGTAAAAAATAAATTGGCTCATCATATATGTGAAAGCATGCAGAAAACTCAGCTGGACTCATTAACCCAAATCTGACCAAATGACCAAACAAGAAGAGCTGAGAACTTTGCAGCACATCCTTATATTAAGTAAAAATAAAGTTAAAATATTAATAAAAACTCATTCATTTAACTTTAATTTAAAGAGTTAATATTTTTATTTGTTTTCTACTCAGCTCGAC